AGTCTGATATAAAATTAGCCTAACATAAGCCTAAAATTATGAGGTTATCAAATTTTGAAAAAATCCAAAGGTGCTCTGCTAGCTTGATATTAAGCTAGCAGAGCACCTAATTTTTTTTTATAAAGGAGCAGAACATTTTCTAGGTTGGTGTAAAATTAGACTAAATTATGGCTTACTCAAAAAGTGAAAAATCCAAAGATGATCTGCTATCTTTATACCTATAAATTTTTATAATTAGTTGCACATTGTTTTCTAAAATAAAATTATGATATACTCCAAGAGCCTGTTAAGTAAAAATTAAAAACATAATAAATAAAAAGCGGAATAATGGAACTAGAAGAACAAATAAAAAATATATTACTAAACTTTAAGACTTTACTTCTACAAGAAATAATAAGCACTAAACAACAAGAAGATATTGAACAGTCCAGTAATATAATTCAGATCAGTGGTTTATCCTATTAAAACATTTACAGAGGTGCTGCTATAGGTTGTACAAAATAACCGGAAAAAGCCTATAACAACTAGATAGGAAAGTCATGTGTTGGACACATCAGATTTTTATTCCTCATACAACAATAAAACGTCAATAATTTATCGAGTATTAGAACCTATAACGCCCGTGGGCATTATTAGTGTGTTAAATGCACTCATAATAAACAAGCTAGAATGAAGATATACAGGGTGTTCCGCATGAGTACTGACACAGAACAGGTGCGTATTGAGCCCCCCAAAATATGATGATTTAATGCAATAATTTATCTCTAAACCTAGTTGTACCCCTAAGCCTAAAGTGGGGCCAAGTTTACTTAATTTTGTTATTATGTAGATATTATTAGTTTTAATTATTGTGTTCTCATTTAAATCGATTTAATCAAAAGTAATTTGCTATTTGTTAAATTTAATTGAGAAATTCATGGCCAACTAAAGTTTCAAGTGATTTTTGTATTATCATTGATTTAATTTTTCTCATTTTTCTCGAAAAATATAAGGTTCATTAAAAAATAAAAGGAGTAAAAAAATTTTAAAATAAAATTTTGCATAAAATGAAATTACACTTTTAAAAATCGGCCGATGGGCAAAAAGATTTTATACTTCTGCCCTGCTAAGCTGAAATGTCCTATCTGATGAGATATTAACGATTTTCTGTTTTCATATTGTTCACTGTGTACCTAAATGTTTTTCAAAAAGAAATGAAATTTTGCCCAAAACTTTGACTTTTGTTTGTTATTACGTTTATCATTAGGAATCTAAAAGATGGTAAACACATAGGACAATATTAAGAAAATTTATAAAGGAATTACTTTTGTGGCATGCGAATATATTGAAAATCATTCAAAAAAGAATTGGGTTCCGCCGAGATTCGTAACGTAACCGGGCACTTTTGCCATTTTTTAACTATGACAGATAGAACTTCCTGCTTCGTAATTTTATTTGATACCTAAGGTGATTACAACAGCCCCTTATAATTTTCGGACAAGGGTATCTCAAAAAGTAATTTTTTTAGAAAACTTAAATTTGGGCAAAATAAATAAGGCAATAATATCTAGAATATGCATATTTTTTAAAGTTTTAATTCCTTCCAGTTTCCGAGAAAAAAAATCAAAGGGCTTTAAATTTTGAAATATCATAATGAAAATAAATGCATTCCTCAACGGCACTATTCTTAATACAATCCCCAAATTTAAGCTCTTAATCTCTTGTTAATGATTTTTTAAAATTCGCCGAAATTAGTGGCTAAAACGCCTCGTTAAGTGCTATTTTCTGGTTTAAACTGGTGTAAATCGTTGCAAGAAACGAATGATGACTCAGAGTGTACGAAACGATAGTTACAGACGCGTTACACTAGAATGAAGCACTTAACGAGGCGTTTTAGCCACTAATTTCGGCGAATTTTAAAATATCATTAACAAGAGATTAAGAGCTTAAATTTGAAGATTATATTAAGAATAGTGCTGTTGAGGAATGCATTTATTTTCATTATGATATTTCAAAATTTAAAGCCCTTTGATTTTTTTTTCTCGGAAACTGGAAGGAATCAAAATTTTAAAATATGTATATGCATATTTTAGATATTATTGCCTAATATATTTTGCCAAAATTTTAATTTTTTAAAAAAATTACTTTTTGAGATATCCTTGTCTGAAAATTATAAGGGGGTGCTGTAATCACCCCCGATATTGATCAACTACCACAAGTAACCCGGATTTTTTGACATCGGTTTCTGAGAAAAACTAATTTCTTGGTTACATGAAGCAATTTTAAGCGAACTACCGAAATTTCTTGGTTATTGCGTGAATTTATGAAAGGGGTTAGTATACTGACGTCACAAGTGGCATTCGCTTGAACGAAGTGGTAATAACCGTGGTTGTAAGTTTGTTTATTTTCAAATGTTAATTCTATTTAACCTATCTTTTTTGCCGTGTTTATAAATTAGTGATATAGATTTTTATTTAAACTATATTGTTTATTGTCCTGCAAGAAAGAATAAGATCCAAAGAAGAAATTATAGTCTCTGAAGTCTTTCCCTTTGCATTTTTAACTTATCCAATAATCTTTTACTACTTTTGAACACGATATTAATGCTTAAAAAAGGCACAAAATCGGGTTTAGTACCTTATTTGCATAGTACTAATCGGTACAAAACACTCACTCCAGTTGTAACTGTCAATTACCTATAACCAATAATCAAAAACAGCTCTGGAAGAAGGTAAATACCGTAAAATTTTAGTTATAACTTGGACAAAAAACAGCTGATTTATGACGTCACGGATATATTACCAAATTAATAACCGAAGTCACTTGAATGTTGTAGTAATTACCAATCTCAAATGGTAAATACCAAATGCTTTTGGTTATTCGCTTAAAATTGATTATGGACCACGGCCGAGATTTACGTCACTTTTGTGACAGATTGACATTCGACATAGTAACTGTAAAAATATAGCGGTTAGTGAATTGACGTTTGGGTCACCATTTTCAGGTAACCGCGTCCCTAATTTAACCGATTTTCAGGAATATCAAGCAGAACGGTTAGTTCCGGACCGAGTAACTCGGTTATATATCTATGCGAGTAACCGATATTTCGGATAATAACGGACCATACCCTAAGTTTTACTAAACTAAAACGTCCTATTTGCGTAATTTAATTAGTAAATGGAGATTGGATAACATTTTTAATAATTATGTTGTTTTTGGTAGGTAGGACAGAACTGAATGTAAGAAACAAGTGCTTTTCGTTGTAGTTAGGACGTTTTTGTAAAGTTGTAGATGCATGCCTGATTCACAAATACGCCTTGAACTCAAAAACTGATATTTTGTCAGATAGGACGTTTTGGCTTAGCAGGGCAGAGTTATAAGGGTGCGTTACCCCAAAACCATCACTTAAAATATTTTAATTAATTCTTACTCACCCCCATATCATGAAGCGCCTAAATAATTGACCAAATATAGATTTTTTTAAGTTAAACGGTTGCAGATATATTACATTTCTAAATTTATGACCCCACTTTAGGCTTCTGTAACTCCTTAGGGATACAGCTTGGTATAAAGGTAAATTGCGTCATCATATTTTGGGGTGCCCAACACGCACCTGCTCTGTGTAGGTACTTATGCGGAACACTCTGTATATTGCTGGGCATTCTGTATTATACTCTTCACAGTTTAACATACCCCCCAACCCCCATTTTTAATCAGATCTTTTTTAGAATCAATAGATTTCATCTCCTTATAGAACTTGAATTTTACTAAAAATTTCATATTGATATCGCTTTTCGTTTTTGGTTTATTATTTTTTTTTTAATTTCAATATTTCAGCCCCCTTTAATCCCCTCCCCCATTTTTATTAGGATTTTTTCAAAATCAATATGACTCGTTCCCTATTAGAGATTGATTTTTCCTGAAATTTTCAAGTTGATATCATTTTTCGTTTTTGACTTGCGTGCGGACAAGAAAACGTGACATCGGACGGACGAACGGACGGAAGTAAACCTATAATACTCTTCACAGACTACTGTGTGAAGAGTATAACAATAATTAAGTGGAAAATAAAATATTACTGGAATATTTTAAAATACTCTGAATGAAAATTGAAAACAATAAAAAAAATTATGTAAGAATGACCCAAAATTAAATATTTTTCTATATTACTAAAATTGTGTGTTGTCTTTTATTTTTCAATATGAAAATACCATTTTTTCAATTTGTTTGAAAGTTTAGAAAAAAATACAAGATTTTAATCGATCATGTGATTCCTCCTTATCCTCAGAATTTAGAGAACTAAATTTTAAAACATTCGAAGTTAAAAATATAATTTGTCGGACGAATATTTTAATAACTTCGTTATATTTAAAAATGGAAGAAATATTTGATATGGTGTTGGCTTTTTCCTATTCCTGTCATTTTGAAAATTATTATTCAAAAAATATCAAATTTGAACCCCCTATTTTAATTGTCCCTTTAATTTTCAAATGCTGAGAATTTAAAGTATAAGAAACAAATTTTGCATATTTTATTAAGAGCTGTTAATTTTTAAAAATAATGAAATAATTGTTACAAGTATTCCCAAAATATGTAGAAGGTGGAAAACATATTTTAAGTATTGTATTTATATATCTTGACCATACTTAAAATGCTGAGGGCATCAAAGTGGAGAATTTAATTTTCGTCTATTTGATAAAATATTTTTGAAAATATGAATTTAAAAAAACTCGGTCGTAATATGTAAAAATATTGTAGGAATGTTATTCTTTAAACCGTAATTTAATTAGGATGTCATGTCTTTTATTTATCAGCCAAAATTAATAATCTAAAAACAAAACTTCCATAAAATTATCAAAAACATCGCTTCTATCGTAGAAAAAATGTCGAAATTATCATTTCAATTACCAATTTGAATGTTAAAAAGCGTTAAAGGTCACATTAATTGGGAACACAGTTAAAATACATTTAAACTCGCGAAAATTATAAAATTAAAAACGTTAAGAACGATCGGTACTTACCCTTAAAATTAAAACTAGTACTGCACGGCTTACCACACCTTTCTACCAGCTGGTTGTTATGTGTTTGTGAGCTATCAACGAATCGTTTTGTCACATGATTTTTCCTATACATACAGTGGGTAAAGTGTGTGTACGTACTTAAAGTTAAAGACGACTTATAAATTAAGGACAATGAGAGATATGATATGATCATATACATGCAATGATTGTTTTAAGACGGTTAAAAAATACGATTGTTATGTCTTTATCTCTAATTGAAGTATCAAATAATGGGATTTCGTTATATTGATTTGGGATTTTTATCGATTTTTAAATTAATTGATAGATATTTATGGTTTTATTGATTGTAAATATCTGTTTATATTACGTCATTGTTTTCAATCACTGTAGAGTATCTTTTTCATTTTGCATTGAACAAAGTGAAACTACTTATGAAACAAAATTTTATTTTAGCTTTATACCGGGTGGTTTATAACACGTTCTTCTTCAAGATTAGCGATACGTCCTCTGTGGGAAATTTTATTAAATAAATGAGTAATTCTGAGAGTGTCGAGAGTGCCGGTGTTACATATTTGCCAGTGACAATAGTTTGTGATTGGTTATAATTATGTGATAATTTATAGCCCTAACAATATTGAGATAAAAAGATTAGTTGACTTACCTGTAATGAAGATTAATCATAATTTTCCGAGCCTATAATAATAAGGGGATCGGTCACTTGGACCACGAGTACCTGCATTAATCCTTTTTTGAAAAAGGTCAAGTTAAGCCTACCCTTCAGTTCGACCAGGATAAAATTTTATTTTCTAATCGATTTAATCTAATTCTTCAAAGATAATTACAACATCATTAGGGTAGTAATAGTGTGTAGTTTTCGACACTTGCAAATTTTTATCAAATTTTAAAATATTAGTTTAAATCCAGCAACGTTCTAGTAAGCATCATTATCCTTCATAAGTATCTAGTCAATTTAGTTTAAGAAGTGTAACTGCACCAAAAATGGATTTGAAGTGTATGATTAGTGAAAAAGGAGACAAATTATTGTTACTAAATAATTTTAAATTTTCTAAAGCTCATGTAGCAAAATGCGGAAAAATTCGTTGGCGGTGTGTTAACAGAAAGTGTTCTTCTAAAATTTATACCGAGGAAGACGAAATAACTATCTTAGAAACACATCTAGAGCATAATCACATGGAATGGAAGATAGTACTCTTAAAAGGCAACAGGTTAGCAATGCTTTGAATAGGAAGGCGTTAGAAGATCTAACAGAAAGACCCTCCAAGATAATTCATAAGGAATTAAAGGTTTCTTCTTTTTATTATTATTACCACGCTTTATTTAACTTCATGTGTCTGTTTATTTATTTATCTGTTTTTATTTTTGCGCTTTTATTTTTGACTAAAAAATTATTTTTTACTTTTGAGTATACTTAAATAAAGCGTGGGGGGTGGGTGGCTTAGTGGTAGAGCCTCTGCCTGTGGATCCAAGGGTCCCAGGTTCGAATCCCACCGTTGGCCGGGATTTTTTTATTTAATTTAATTATTTAAAATTAATTCTGATGCCTTGGTAGGATTCCCCACTCGACCATTCACTGTTGGGTTCTAATTAACAGTGCTGTTCCTAAAAGTGGCGCAAGGAAACAGTAACAAGGCCTGTCTGTAAGGGTGTAGGAGTATTAGAGTACTAATACTCCTGCACTATGGAGTATTAGACTACTAATACAATCCATAACCTACATAGAACACTAGGCTAATGACCTTAGATGTTGAAGCCGTACACCAAATAAAAAAAAAATAAAGCGTGGTTTTTAAAAAATTCTTTTTTCATATTTTTATTTTATTAACTTAACTATCGCTAACATTTTTATTTTTGTTTTTAACAGGATAACGAAATTACTGGAGAAATGATATCTTCCGATTTGGAATGTTTACGGCGGAATATATATGTCGCTCGACGCAGTGTTTTACCACCACATCCTAAAAATCAAAATGAAGTGTATGATACACTCCTGGACATGCAACCAAAAACTAATAAAGCTGAGGAATTCTTAAGTGTAGTTCATAAAGAAAATGGTGTTATTGTGTTTTCGTGTTATACAAATTTGCATTTTCTTTGCTCTGTGAGTACAATATATATGGATGGAACATTTCAGTTTTGTACTAAATTTTTTCTTCAATTATTTACTGTTCATGCTTTTAAAAATGGCTATTATAAACCTGTTGCATTTCGCTTATTACCAAACAAGAACAGCTCAAGTTATTTAAAATTATTTCAACTGTTAAATAAATGAAAAATGTAAAACTTTGGATCTGATATTTAAACCTTCAACAGTCATTGTTGATTTTGAACAGGCAATTCATAACGCTTGTTTAATAATGTGGCCGAATATAAAAATTATAGGATGTAGATTCTATTTATGCCAATCGTGGTATCGTAAAATTCAAAATTTGGGCTTAGTCACAGAATATCGGAACAAAAACTCAGAAAAAGGCAATTTTCT